CTCATTGTTTCCCTGCCAAAGTTTGTAAAACCCAGTGAAATTGCTCAAAGCATCAAAATACTGTAAAATGACCAATTTTCACTGGTTTAAATTTCACTGATTTACCATTTCAGGCATATTCAGTGGGTTTTAAATTCACGGTTTTGTCATTTAGATAATGTGTTCTATGCTAAATTTTACATATTCACTGTGTTTTAATTTAGCGCATTTTTCCAGTCAGCGAAATAAGCTAAATTAAAACACAGTGAATAATTACCCCCTTTACAGTAGTGAAATTAAATGCCAGTAAAAATAAATGTTTCTACATCAACTCTCATACCATCTACAAATTACAACATACATATCTTTTTTCTTGTTTTTCTTTTTATTATTTGCCAAAAATTCACAAAAGAATTTGGATAAAAAAAAATATGGTGTACAAATGGCCAAATTCTACTCTTTGAATGCGCGGTACTGTCAGAACATTGCACTGAAATTGGTCTGGCTATGTACAAACACTTTAAGCTAGTGGAATACATTTCTGCTTCATTCTAGTGTACGCAGTAAGGGAAAATCTGAGTCATGGGCTAATTTTTTTTTTTTTTTTATTAGTATTGCTGTGTAGCAGAGCGTATAATCTTCTGACATGGATCCTTTATATGCACACACAGTTGCATGCATACTAAATAATATTTTTTTCTGTTGATTATTTTGTCTCTTCGAAGCTGCTACGTGTACTTATACACTGATAGCTATTTTTCTGAAAATGTTCACGTTACCGTTGCCATGGTATTGTTAACTGTGAAGTCAAAAATGATATTGGATGAGGTTACAGACACGTATATTTCTGAGAGTATTGTATATTCCCTAGGTTGATTTGAAGCACAAGTACACAATAAATTTATCTATATTTGGGTTTGATTTGTCTGTGAACACCATCTGCACATCCCTGATTGCAGTGGATACCCTTACAGGAATTGGCTTTGATGACTTTATATTCCAATTTGGTGACCGATTTTGATTTCTTTTGGGTAACAAACACGGAAATTGCATCTGAATTATAAATATCTGTTGCACATGTTCCCACTGTTAAGTTGACTTCAAAGTGATAGCTGTATTATCTGATATATATGTATATTGTTTGTAACATTTGATGTATGAAGATCAGACATCAACAAGTCCATTGAATCATACACTACATATCTCTAATGTGGCCTACCTAATAATTAAAAATTTGATCGTGAATGGCATTAATGTGGATTCTAATTCATGGCTCTTTTTACTACATACATGTAAGTTTAGGCTTAAAATAAGTTTAATGCCAAAATTTATAAAATTATATAAAATAGGCTTAACATTATACTGAAGGGCACCAAGTCAACTGCCTTTGATATTCCTGTGAAGTTCAAGCACTATAAAATTGTACAGTACTACTTGTATATACATGTATGTATGTGTAATGACCAAACGTATCTGTATTGTTTATCATTATACATATACATACATTTGTACATGTAGATGTGCATTCTTTTCTATACATGTACAATGTAAACCAAAAATTGCATGGATTGGATGCTGGGTCATTAAAATATGTATTTTGTCCATAGACTTGCATGTTATTTACAAATTAAAACACATGGGCTTCTAATAGAATGAATACAGTCTCTAGTGGGTAGCTAAATAGTATGATACAGTGCCATAGACTAGTACTTGCATACATTGTACATTCACTTTTCACATAGACTATGTATTTTACATGCATTGCATGGAACCCATGTCAAACACAACACTTTTTACTGAGCACTGTCTGTTGTATTAGTAGCAGGGTATCTGAACTAATAAATCACTAACATCGTGCTTCTCAGCTTGTGAAATAATTCCTTTTCATTACAACTGTAACCATCTCCTAGGGATTAGATTGATACTTTGCACATTAAATGTGATTTAACTTTAGAGCACGAGTACCTCACACATTTTTAAAGTAATTTGTGTTCTGCTTTAACTTAAAAAAAAGCATAGATAATACATGTATATATACTTGTAGTTACATGTATATGCTGTAAGCAACTATTAAAGTTGAAAAGTTGCTGCTTTCTCTTTTCATTAGTCTTGTGAAATTCTTAACTGTGTATAGTCTACTTCACTTGATCTTTGACTTATTCCTTCTTGGATTTAACTGGTTGTCACACACTGGAGTAGATTTCTTAGAAAACTATGTTTTGATTGATTTTTGATAAATTCTATAGAATTGTATAAAAAGACAAGATTCACAAAATATATGAATACAGATACCAAAGCAAACTCAGACAGATGTCAGGTGAATTGCCTTCTTTGTTGCTAATAAATTATTCATGACAAATGATTTGTAATGATACTGATAAATTATTCATGAGAAATGATTTGTAATGATACTGATAAATTATTCATGAGAAATGATTTGTAATGATACTGATAAATTATTCATGAGAAATGATTTGTAATGAAACTGATAAATTATTCATGAGAAATGAGTTGTGATAATGCTGATAAATTATTCATGGGCAATGAGTTATGATAATTCTGATAAATTAATCATGAAAAATGAGTTATGATAATGCTGATAAATTACTCATGACAAATGATTTGTAATGTTACTGATAAATTATTCATGAGAAATGAGTTATGATAATGCTGATAAATTAATCATGAAAAATGAGTTATGATAATGCTGATAAATTACTCATGACAAATGATTTGTAATGTTACTGATAAATTATTCATGAGAAATGAGTTATGATAATTCTGATAAATTAATCATGAGAAATGAGTTATGATAATGCTGATAAATTACTCATGACAAATGATTTGTAATGATACTGATAAATTATTCATGAGAAATGAGTTATGATAATGCTGATAAATTACTCATG